ATACATCTGTTGCCTCTCTGCGCAACCCCAACAGGAGAGACCTCATCTGCACCCAGGCATGTGCCCTGACTGGGAATCAAATAGGCAACCTTTTGGTTTGCAGGCCAACATTCAACCCACTGAGCCACACCAGGCAGGGCTCAAGCCATTTATTAACTCACTATGAGGAACAGCTGTATTATAATAGTACCTGTCACCTCAACCTAAGCACAATGCCTTGCACATTGCTTGGCTTAATAAATGCCTGAAATTAATGATGTAATTCACTTTCCCAAGTTAAGGAAGTCATTTACTAAAACATATTATAAAATCTCACCACAGTAGGTTCTAAGATGCTCTACAGCCCTTTATATTGGAATTATATTGTGCTCAAAGTTGAATCCATTAGTAGCTTCTTCAGGGACCTGGCAGTTTCACCAATCAGATTCTTGGTGTCTAGGTCTTTGTTATACAGTATCTGATTTATAATCACTTTCTCCCAGTTTTTAAAGTCCAATTACTTCAATAGTTAAACCTTATAGCCATTATACTGTCATAGCTTCATTTCTTCTCTCTATTCCACAGACACAACACTTAGATCAGACATTCACTGAGTATTCCTTAACTAACTATAGTAGCTTTTAATGTTTAAAGCTCACAGTAATAGCTTGTCAGCAAACCTATAAAATGAGAAATATTTCATCCCCCAAAATCTGTATTAACAGCCTGTCCTTTTAAAATAGATATTTAAGAAGCAAACAAATAAAGTGCCTTTTATTTTTAAAATTTTAGGCAATTTCTTCAGCTCAAATTTGGCATAATTTAAATTGAAGAAACACTGATAAAACACCGATGAAAGCAAATGAAAACAAATACATGCATTTTACTCAAAAAAGGAGATGCTTGATGCTCAGTGTCAAATAGATATTAAAATTAAAAGACATTAAGTCATTAGACTTAAAAAAAAGTACATCTAAAATTCTTAAAAACTGTCTTTCAAAAATTTCCCTTAATAAACATTCTAGGATTCTTCGTCCTTGGAATACAACCAAATGGGCTGCTAACTTACTAACGATCCAGCTTGAGAGAAAAGTATAAAATAAAAATTCAAAAGGAAATCCTCGTTAAAGCTAATGTGCCCTCTTTAAAAAATTTTGTATTTAAATGTATAATAGATGTCTGGCTATTCCAAACTTGGCACCAAAACATTAATATACAGTTCTGATTCTTCAGTTACAGGTTTTTGTTCCTAAATGCTAAAGCATTTTCATTTGTCGACTGTTCCAAAGGCTGCTGAACAGGAGTTCTTAACCTGGAGTTCAGAGATCTGCAGGGAGTTAAAGAACCTTGAATGGTGTGCAAACGGGTGTGTACGTGCATTTCGGGGGAGGATGCCAACGGCTACGTTCAGAGTCTTAAAGAAGTGTGTGGTCCAAAAAAGGTTTAAAAACTCCCCAAACAACAAAATCCTGCTTTAGTATCATAACTAAATAAGGAACGTGACGAAAGACAGAAACCCGCACAATTTAATATTTAACTATGCAACCGCCGTGAACACCTATCCCCTCATCCACAGTGACCCAGATCCTGACACTAGCCTTCCATTCCGAACGCTTTCTGGAAAGTAATTTGGTTTACACTAGGAGGAAATGAGTTCAATCACCCGTACCCACACACACACTCTTGGATCGACCCCATGCACCAACTCGGCCATTGTCAACCCTCTCCTCTGGGGTCGGGTGGGTAGCACGCCCCGCTCGCGTACCTGGGTGCGGGTTCGATTAGGGTGGTGGTGTCCAGGTAGTGAATCTTGTAGAACTCCAGCAGGGCCGGCAAGTGGTCAAACTCCTGGTCCCCGATCTTAAAACGGCGGTTGGGCAGCGAGTTGATGATGTAGTGGGAGACCCGCGAATTCTCGGACACCGACAGCACATAGTCCCCGGGGCAGGTGGAGGAGTCGCGGACTAAAAACATTCCGTGGCGCTGGCCCTGGAGCCGGGTCTGCGCCTCCTGGCGAGACACTGGCCCCATGTACCAAGAGGAGCGATCAGAGGAGTCGAACCTGGCAGAGGACATGGTGTCGGGCCGAGGCTGTGGGGAGGGTCGGGGCGGCGGCTGCTCTCGCCTGCTCTGGACACCTATTCCCGGCAGACGGCTTTGGGGCCGAAGAAGGGCCTCTCGGCACACTTCGAGGCGTGCTTAGAGGGCCGAAGCAGCACCTTCCTCTCGGCTCCGGCCCCAAAGCATCCTCCACTTTAGCCCGCCTGCTCCGGGGCCGCCTCACAGAAGGAGCCGGCTTAGGGAACGCGAGGTAGAGCCCGAGGTCGCGGCGGGCGAAGCCGAACCGCAGCAGAGGCCGCCCCGGGGTTCTCGGGCTGCCCCGCGTACCGGGAGTACCTCCCTCCAGTCACTCCTGGCCTGAAGCGCACCGGCTCCGCGCCCCTACGGCTCTGCACCGACCCCAGCTGCTACACCAAGCACCAAACTCCAAGGAGCGGTGCGCCTCCTGGGCGGTTTTGCCTAGCCGGTTCCCAAGAGCCACAGCAACAAAATGGCGGACGCGGGAGAAGCAGCCGGCCACCTCCCCCTCCCCTCAGCGCGCTCTGTAGGCGCACGCGCGGGCCCCGGCTCCCAGAGGCAGTCGGGGCCCTCCCCTGACGTCGTGCGGCACAGCCAATCAGGAGCGCGGTCGTGACGGTTCGGCCCTGCGCCCCGCGCTCCTGCTCCCGCGTTCGGGGAGGAGGCGGAGGAGTCCGAGGAGTCGGAGACAGCGGGCACTCCCTTCTTGGCCCTCCGTACGCCGCCGGGGGCGCTGCCGCTCCCGGGTGGTAGGAAAACAGCTGGAGCCGGGAGGGAGCGGCATTTCGAAAACCTGCTCTGGGAACAAAGCGTAACGTGCAGGCTGAATCTCTGGCTAGGGAGGCGTGGTACTGAGGTGACCTGGCCAGCCGAAGGACAGTCCCGGATGGGTTGAGGAGGCTTAGGAAGGAGATGACCGTGAAGCTGAGGCGGCCACCAGATAGGGAGGGACTAGGTGACCCTGATCCGAGGCGTCCTGGTAGGCTAAGCGACTCGGAGTGGCCAAGTGACCCAACAGGCACAAGGCGAGGGTAAGAAGGTGGGACTGACAGGAATAAGTGGTCTAGGAAACAGCCTGGTCGTTCCTGGCGCTGAATAAAACACAGACGCTTCTCGGGCGTGGCCGTCCCTGCTGAGGGCTCAGCCTACTTCTCCGTTAGTCTTTCATTCCTCGCTTGTTTACCCGGCTCCAGCCGCGCCTTCTTCGCCTTTCTGTTCCCCAACTAGAATGAACATTTTAAGGAAGCGCGGACCTGGCCTATCTTGTTCACCTCTGGGCCTAGCACGATGAGTGGCCCTGAGTTGATGCTCAAATATTTGTTGAACAAATGACTGACAAGAAAAAACCTCCCGGCTACTGGTGCCAGATTATTGGTAGCGCCACCCCAGGAACTGGACAGACAAGCCGGTCCAGGCACTGCCTAGATGGTTCAGTGGGTTGAAGCCTCGTCCGGCTACACCAAGGTTGTGGGCACTATCCCTAGTTGGCACATACAAGAAACAAATCAGTTTCTTTCTCTCTCTCTAAAATAAATCACAATTTAAAAAATATATAGCAAAGGATTTAACAATCTCGGAAATGCCACTCAAGCATCTCTATCTCTGCAAAGCCTTTTAACTTGTTACATTGCAAATTAATTATCTTCAGTTGAAGGTTAGATGGAAGTTCCTCAATTGCACAATTAAATGGATTTTGAAATATGAAAAGTTCCACTGCACTTGCCATCAATTTCTGAAAATGGTGATGGAACTGTAGTTTGAGCTCAGAAAATGTAAATGATGCAAATTTGTGTGGGAATGGAGATTTTGTTTTTGTTTAAACTGACAGCATGGGAAGTGTATAAAGCAGCGTAACATTACTCGTGCTTCAAAACATTAGTTATTGTCAAAATGACTTTTCTGCAGTATACATTTCACATATAAGCACTGTTCTGCCCCATAACTTTAGGTTGAATTAAGAAACATCAATTAGTCCTGGCTGGTGTAGCTCAGTGCAAACCAAAGGGTCACCAGTTCGATTCCCAGTGAGAGCATATGTTTGGTTTGTGGGCCAGGTCCCCAGTGGGGGCCATGTGAGAGGTAACCACATATTGATGTCTCTTTTTCCTTCCCTTCTCCTCTCTAAAAATAAATAAATAAAACCTTTAAAAAACTATCAATTATATAGCAAAAGATAATTTCCAAGGCCCTTAAGTATTCAGTAATAATGGTTTAGAATGGTTCTGTCCTGAAAAATCTGTCTTGGCTCTGAGATAAAAAAAAAAAAACAATAAAACTTTAGCATTGCTAAGCCATAAAAATGCTGTGTAGTAGGGCAAGTCAGGACATTCAGCTTCTAATTCCAACAAAAATTCATAGACCTGCCCTGGCTGGGTAGCTCAGTTGGTTAGAGCATTATCCCAAACATTGCAGGTTTGACCATTGGTCAAGGCACATACCTAATTTTTGGTTTGATCCCTATGGGGATGTATACCAGATGCAACCAGTCATGTTTCTCTGACGTTGGTGTTTCTCTCCCTCCCTTTTCCTCTCTCTAAAATCAATGAGCATATCCTTGGGCAAGGATTAGGAAAATCACAAAAAGTATTTTGTGGCATGTAAAAATTATATCAGGTTAAAAGTTCAGTATCCATGTTTCATGGAACACGACCACTTATATCATCTTTGGCTGCTTTTGTGCTATAATTGTGGAGTAGTTGTGACAGATGGTTTAGCCTGTGAGCCTAAACATTTACACTCTGGCCTGTTGTGCATAGGGGGCACTGAAGTAGGCATGACAGAACTCTGACAGATGAGATGAGGATTTCAAGAAGGAAGCTTGTACATAGGCTAAATGTAGCAAGGAGCTAAAATGTGGCAGGGAAGGCCATATGCAAGATGACTCAACAAAGATGATTCCCCTCCACCAGGGCTTTGAAAATAACCATGTAGAACACAGAAGCTGATTTAAAAACTTCACATTTTATTTCATGGAATATGGTTGTTGTTAAGTTGAAGACATGGAATATAAGAGCTGCTCTGATACAGACTGAACAAAAAGCCCACCTTCCCATGAGCACTTTCAATGACTAAATCATGATTCTGTATGTAAGACATTTCATCCATCAGAGCTGAAGACGCTCAACATTGCTAACTTTAAAAATTCTTCAGAAAAGACCTATAGAGGCAAAGTATAAGATTTTTACTAAATTGATGTAGTGTACACTTAAGATTACATATTCATAGAAGTTAGAGAAATTAAAATACACTTCTGTATTTCTTTCCTTGCCACCTGAGTTAAATTCAGACCTCTTTTCCTACAGAATGCAAAAAAGACAACCCCACTGCTAAATTACAAATCACTAGATGTTAGAAATAGTTTCCTCTGGAGGAGAATGCACTTATTTTTAAGTTAGTAGCACATTTAACATATAACTAACCTAAAGTTAGAAAAACCACTTTTTTGAAGGCACAGTTTGTTTCCAGCTCAATGGTTGAAATAAAAATCTGTCTTATGGGTCTCATCTGGCAAGAAAGGTAAGTTCATTGGCCTTGTCTGTCATACCAAAGCCCATCCCCCACCCAAAACCAACCTGGGCACTTCTGAGTGTCTCTTGAGAAGAGAAAGTTTTTTGATCATCACTATCACATGCAAAGATTCTAGAGGCTCTTCAGATATCCCTTCATTCTCTGAAAATGCAAACAACTTTGCTTTATAAAGCAGTGTCAGCAATGCAGGAGTAGGGGTAAAGACCCAGTAGAAAGAAGCTGCTAGCCAGTAAGTGGCTTAGAGACAGTCCTTTGGCAGAGGCCTTAGAATTAGGGGGCCTGAAGAAGAACAAAATAAGATATGTGGCTGTCTAATATACCAGAGGAAGAAAAACTTCTATGAAAGTGAAGACAACTTTCCTTCCATATGCGTGGGTTAAAAAAAAGGTGAGGTGACTGGCTTCATAAATCCAAGAAACAGAGGGAAGGTATTTAAAATAGGTGCTACTTGTTTCAAGTCAGTTAAATCACTAATCCCATTAGGCAAATGGAAGATTGAAAAAGAGAATGTTTGGCAGTGGGTGGCCTTTATTGGAAGGGAAAAAAGTCTAGGTCTGAGGTATAATGACTGATTCCTGATGATAATGAGCAGAAACAGTTATTACCTGGAGGAAGATGTTAGGGAAAAAACAAACTATTAGAACGAGTGGAAATGCACATACTGGCTGCTCTGTACTGTGGCTTTATGCTTTTTGAGTAACCTTTTTGCTGAAAGCCCTGAGAATTTTAGTTTGGGCTGGGTGTACGTTTAAAACCTAGCCAGTGCCATGTTTCAAGGTGAAAGGCACTGTTATTGTAAAGTTTCTGATCTAAACTGTCTCATTAAAATCAGTCCCTCTGCTCACTTTCACCATTTTCACAATATTTTAATTTACTTTTTAAAAAGACAAGAGCCTTGTTGCTTCAATTATTTTGTTGGCAGTACCAACAAAAAGAAACCCATTTAATTACAGAAATCAATTGTAATGAATGCTTTTAAGTGATTCTTTTTGTAAAATTAAAGAATAAGTTGAGCCAGTTAAAATGATGTCTGGGCTTTCTCTTATAGCCAAATCCTTCTATACAAAGTCAGCATCATTTGTGGAGTTCTAGCCTTGAAACTTGGTGTCAGAGAACCAAGCACTGAATCAAGTCACTTTGTAAGATGTGCAAGGAGAATTAGTGGGAACCCTGGATTGGTCAGGAGACCTAGACCCTGTGTGAACACTGTCATACCGGATACTGGAGGCCTGCTCAGGAAGAGTCTCAGAGTGGGGGGCTCAGTGTAGGAAGGTCACTGCTTGGCCACGTGTGTGTGATGCTCCACTCCCACCAACTCCATAGGGCTCCCAGCTGGTCAGCCACGCACAACACTGAGCCAGTAGAGAATCTGCTTCTAATCATGAACAGAGTCAGGAATGAGGACACACAGGGAAGAAGGGTTTACCCAATTCCCTACATATTTCCAGGTGTCACAGCTGGCAGGGCTGGTCTAAACACCTTCCACTAAACTGCACGCCAAAGCTTGAGGCCAGGAGGGGAAAAGGTGACATCTGTCAATGCAATAGCAAAGAATACTCACACATTCCATTAATGAACCTCAAACTGATCCTTTCCCAGGAGGTTAGAATTATGTGCTCAGAGTGTGCATGCATGTGTGCGGGGTGCTGGGGGAGGGATGATGACTGCTAAATAAAGGTGTGGGGAGGAAGGACCCTCCTGCACCAACAATGGGCTCACAGGGTGCTATAGCACTCTGATGAAGGCAAGGCATAGGAATGAGATGTCCAACAGACTGAAATTCTGCCCACATCTTCCCATATGCTCATTAAAGTAAGAACTGCAACTTTTTCTTCTCATTCAAGCATGGTAATAATCAAAGGCCCAAGGTATTCGAGGCAAGGAGACTAAAACTCTAAGCATTCAAAGAAAGGAGCGAGGTATTGGCTCTCATTAAAAGTGGGACGCACACTTCCTATAACAAAATCTCTTAAGACCAACTCTATTACAACATCTGCAAACACATGTTAAATTACATACTAAAATGATAAATGAAATTTCTTGGGAGTTTAAAAGATCTTTCAAATCTTTTCATCATAATGGAGTGGAAATCCTTCACTGTCTTTAAAGTTGTCGAACTTTTCTTTCTGTACTTTTTATATTGACATCTAACTTGTCCACTTTGGTTGTGAGGCGGTCAATAATGTCATCTTGCTCCTCAATTTCTGTCTGCATCCCCAGGGCTATGTTCTTCAGCCGGCCCAGTCCCATGGACAGCTCATCTGTGGGAGAGGGAAAGGACATGCAGACCTAAGCAAACAGTGACAGCACTGGGAACTGCTTCTTGCTCCCTCCCAGGTGTTCAGTGACACTTAGATTATGAAGTCCTCTTCCTCACATAACAGGCTAACCTCCAGGGCTTTGGTTAATTTTCCAAAATACATGCAAGTGAAAAGAAAATCTGCTTACTCAATAAAAAGTAATGTTCTTTCTTTAATCCTCACCCGATGACATTTTTTTCATTGCTTTTAGACAGAAAGGGGGAGAAACAATGTAAGAGAGAAGCATCGATCAATTAACTCTCATACACGTCCAGACTAGAGATTGAACCTGCAACCTAGCTATGTGCTCCGGCCAGGTATCCAACCCACAACCCTTCCGTTATAGGATGACACTCCAACCAACTGAGCCACAATGGCCAGGGCAAAAGTAGTATGTTCTTAATGTAAAAGCCATTTCTCCTGAGACCAACCATGTAAGGTAAACACTGTTAATACAATGGTGTTTTGTCCTTCCTGTGTTTTATAAAGTGCATATAGATCTACATAATTTTTCAGTGGCCTTTAAACCTTTTCCTAGGTTGCTGCAAACTGCAAGATCAGTACCTATGGAAAAGAGCACAGAGGGGCCTAGAAACAAATTTCCTTCCTAGACCCCATAACAAGTACCTGGGAGAGGTACCCTGGTTGTTAATAGCCAAACTCACTGGCTTGCTCTTCAGCAAAAACCTCCTCTCAATGGGTAGTGCCTACTTTCCTTCCTCCCATCTCTAGCACCCTAAAGCTAGATCAGGCTCAGATCCAGAGTTAGAAACATGAAGATCTGTTAGGAAATATATCTGAGAGACTGACCCGGGAAGTACTGCCCCTTGAAGGCTGCACCCCGATGGTCCACTCAGCAAGTGGCAGGAGAAGGGGGATGAGGGTCTGTCACTGCCCTGCCACCTGGTATGCTCTTAACAAAAAACACATGAACTACGATGTTCCCACTGGACCCAGATGCTGTGATGTCCCTTTACCTATGTTATGAAAATTAACACTTTCCCACATTCATTCACTCGTGGCTTCCATTTCCCAGATCCACAAACACAATGATACTGCCAACATTCTGGGGTGCAACAGTTAGCGTGCATTTCCCAGAACTGGCCTGGCACCATTTCCTTAGCTTGCTTTGTGGTCAGAAAGAAGGCAGTGGCCTCTGAACAAGCTGGTTCACAGATTGCTGCAGCTCAGTGTCCCCATGTCAAAAGTGCTGAAGGTGCTGAGTCCCTTCAGAGATGCCAGATGGCTGAGCCCCACGTAACTATGGAGTATATTGCTTTTGGCAAAGGTTCAGCTTTTGTGCTAGGTTGTTACATCATTATTATTGAAATTCAAGTTCAAACATAAGAGCCCCACTTCCACCCAGGGGAAGTATAGTATGGGGGAAATCCAGGTTAATTCCACTGGGCTTGAGTACAAATTCTGACCTTGCCTAGGATTGTGACTACAGCTGAGGTGAGCCCACTGTGAGAGAAAGGCCCCAGAAGTGCCTGGGACAATGAGCTCCCCTTGTGAGCTCATTTGATTTCCCTCATTAGGTTGTTCCATTACTGGTAACAAATATTTTCATTCTGGTTCAAAAACTTGTAACAATCAATCTCACATTTGTTTTGAAGAGGGATAATGTCTGTAAGGTCATGGTCAGCCTTAGGAGTACGTGAAGGGCTCGCATGGCACAGATGACATAAAGAGGCATGAGGAGTGCCCGATGGGGCTGTGTGTGTGTGTATGCAGACACACACCTGCACATGGGGAGTGTGAATGAGGAGACAGGAACGGGGGGCATGCACAGAGCTGCATTCCACTCTTTCACTTAGAATAGTAGGACAAAAAAGAGCCAGAGAAAAGACAGAAGAGGTGGTGCTTTGTAAATGTTCTAATTGAACACTAAGTGAAAAAAGACCAGAATCCATAAATACTGGCACTGGCACCACAAATCTAAGCTGGAAGAATTTTTTTTAAAAAGTCTTCAGCTTTGTGCTTCTTGAGTTTCTTGGAGCCCATGACCAGAAAAAGTAAAACCTGTGAGGTCACTGGCATCAGGAAGCTTGTCGGCAGCTGGAACAGCAAAGAACAGGCAGAGAGCTACACTGAGATTAAAAGTGTGATAAAGTAAAGCCACCAGGCAAGGGAGTCCCCAAGACAGAGGGAGGGTGTGGTATGAAGGGAGGGCAGCCGTGCATGGCTAGTATCAGCAGGGCCTGGTGGCTGAGCTTTGAAGTCTCCCTGCTCCACCCCAGCCCTCCTCCACACCAGGCTGCAAGTCCTCTTGCCACCCTTATGCCCTCAGCCTGTGAAGGTGAGTGGGACACACTGAATTCTGTACCTTCCCTAGGCCTCTCTCCAGGAAAAACTTTGGTAAGGAGGACTGATAGCTTTCAAGTCCTTTCATTTCTCTGATATAAGTCAGATTCCGCAGATGCACCTTCTAAGGTCTCTGGCTCCAGGGCAGAGTCCACAGGATATTAGTGACGGGTGGCTGTCTGGGCTTTCAGGACAAAGGGCAGGTGAAGTTTGGTGCTGAACCTGCCAGGGCATGGAGATGCTGAGATGGGCCCTCTCCCCTGCGGCCAAGAAGGTGAAGCGATGACATTTACTCTGAGAGACGCAGTGCTGAGCTGTGGGTGGTGGAATTACTGTTCTTTTATTTGTTCTCACTGATATCTATTCTCTAAAATAAATGTCTTGTTTCTGTCAAGGTTTCTTCAAATACTTAAAAGGAAGACTACACTTCCATTCACGATGGTGGCATAGGTAAACACAGCTCACCTCCTTGCATAAACACATCAAAATTATACGTAAATTATAGAACCATCACATACAACCGTCAGAAATCTAGCTGAATAGAAGTCTGACAACTATGGAATTAAGGAAACCACATCCATCTACTCTGGTAGGAGAGGCAGAGACACAGAATGGGCTGGTCCCATACCTGCATGTGGTGGATAAAAATTTGAGAGGGGTGTCTTGGGAGTGAGGAGTTCCAGTCCCATACCAGGCCCCCCGCCCAAGGTTCCAGTGCCAAGAAGGTAAGTCCTCATAACTTCTGGCTGCAAAACAAAGTGGGGACAGAGGAGGAAATGGGGCTCTGTATGTGAAATGGTGAGAATGAAATGAGCAGTGTCCAGGCTGCACTGTGTGGCCCCTCAGGGACTCCTGGTCCCTGCTGATGTCACAGTTCAGACAAGAGGTGAAAATGGAATGACGTGAACAGACTCCAGAGAGTGAGGGGTGAGACAGACACAACTTGTGTTGGATCTGACATGTGAGCAGGGAGAGGCAGATGCCAGATTTTAGTCCTGAGAACCTGGGTGCCTACTAGTGCACTGGCTGGTTCGACATGAGCTACCTGGAAGACGAGTTCTCAAATAAGGGACCTGAGAAGGCTGCTGCAGCTTCCAGTCTTACCCAGATTACTGTCGATCTTCTGGTGATAGGCTCGAAGGTGTGGGTTCTTTGGGTAAGCATCGGTACTCACAGCAGACACGGCCCCTTCAGGGATGGAGTCTGAGTTTAGAAAGAAACATGAGGAGAACCATTGACTGATATCCCTAGAAATGTTGTTTCATCAAATTAATCTCAATCTAAAAAACAGGTGGGAGGAATAAAGTGGTTGGTTCAGAAGCTATTTGAAGACATAAGCATGCCAGTGGATAATACGTAGGAGCAAGGCAGTGGGCAGGCTTGTGTGGGAGGGAATAGATGTTTTCTCAGGGCAGCCCTTTGGCGATCAGAGACTCTCAACCTACGGCTGACCTGGTCAGATACTGGCGTACAAGCTCAGGAGACACAGATTCACACAAATAATAACACAGCAGTGGAAATGCAACAATGCACAACCACGCAGGCTCACAGGCAAAGTCTAAAAGGGAAGGTTTAAACATGAATTGTTACTGTTATAGAAATTGAATGATGAGTAATTTTTTCTTTTTGAAATTTATTTCTATATTGTCTTTTCACCTGAATCAAAACAAATAAAGAAAAACAAAGAAATGTTAAATAATGTACATTCATCCCTAGAAATAAACGTGCCTTGAACTTCAGTTTCTAAGTGTACAGAAAAGCCTGTCTGTCATCTCGGTTTACGCCTTTAGAGGAAATATCCCCTTCACACTCAGTGTATTCCCTGTAGCAAAACCCACTGAAGCCATTCTACAAATACAGTGTCATTTTTTTTTAAGTCTTTTAATACACACCACACAAATAAAAACTCCCTTTAATTCCTTGAAATCATGTTGTTTGTGTGTAGGGCTCCTGCTCCACCTCAGGGTACGAAGAGCTCGATTTTTTTCCTGGGTTTATTTTAGTTTTCTCTCATTTCCTCCTGTGGTTTCTCGCCTTTCCAGATTGAACTGTGCTGATCTCAGTCTTTCCTGACCCCCGCTCTTCCTCCATCAGGCCCCTCCTTAGTTGTGTCAACCATGACAGTGGTGGGTTCTGGTGCTTCCAGGGTGTGTCCTGCTTCCCTCGAAGGCAGCACAGAAAGCATTTGGTTTCTGGAGCCCCTCCAATGTGCCTGGCTTTCTAGGGGTCTACAGAAGCCCTCAGCAGGCCTAAATTCCTTTTCAGGTAAGGGATATTTCTGGGCCTTCACACAAAGCATTCTACCTTGCACACCTCTTCCAAGCTGCTGCTTCTCCCCGCACTCAGGCTTCGGGGCTGTATTAGTCTCCTACTGCTGTTGTAACAAACTTATCCGTAAGTTCTGGAGGTCGGAAGTCCAACATGGGTCTCACTGGGCTAAGATCAAGGTGTCAACAGGGTTGTATTCCTTCTGGAGGCTTTTGGGGAGAATTCAATTCCTAGCCTTTTCTAGTTTCTGGAGGTCACCTGCATTCCTTAGTAATGGCCCCTTCCTCCACCTTCTTTCTCACATTATGACACTCCCTCTTCTGATACCCCTTCCACTTAGAAAGGACCTTTGTGATTATACTGGGTACAACTGGATAACCCAGGATAATCTCCCCATGTTGGACCATAAGACGCACCTAGGTTTTAGAGGAGAAAAACAGAAAAAACAATTTTGAAGCAAAAAATATGGTAAAATATTTAATAACATTAAAAACATAATATGTCACCAACGTAAATGTAAACAGAACTCAACAGCAGCATTAACAACCATTATTTCTCCCAAATTGGGGGGGGGGGCGCGACGGTAGGGAGTGCATCTTATAGTCCGAAAAATACAGTATAATTCCTTCTGCAATCTTATTTACCCTTTTGCCATATAACCTATTTACACAGGGTCTGGGGACACCTTTGGGGGGCCATTATTCTACTTACCTGGGGGTTTTCCTCCAGCTGGTTTTTCAGTGCTACAACTCAGGCTCCTTTTCAGTGGGAAGCAGGTTCCCACTTAATTTCACCCTCCAAAGCAACGCACACCTCCAGCTCCCTGAGAGTGGCACTGGGTCCCTAACACCCTTCACCCAACATGTGGGATGACAACAGCTGAAGTCCCTGCTGCCTGCCCCCCCAACCCCATCCACTCAGGGCCAACACCAAATCCAGAGGTCTCCCCACAAAATCCAAATGTAGGAGAGAGCGCGGGTTCCCACTAACCTGAGTCATTCAGCTTCCTGAGGTTTGGGTGGCTGGCCTGGTACTGTGCCTCCTGTTCTTTACTTGTACTTATAGCGTCTTTCAATCTTTTGATAAAAGTTAAGAAAAAAAGGAAACTTTTATAAAGAAAAAACACTTATGACAGTATAGTCTTTTCAGGTAATCCCGTGTGAGAAAATCAAATGCATTCCCTGACCCAAGGAGAGATTCCATCAGCACATTTTGAAAGCCCTGCTGCCCATGTAGCAAGCTTCTAAGACACCTGCTTTAGAAGCGAAGCGTCTGGTTAGGTGGCCCTCCCTCGGGAAAATAAAGACCGTAGCCCCAGGTGGAAGAGAAGCATATGAACAACCAACTGGGTACTTTAAAGTGGGACTCAGCAAACTTTTTACTTGCAGGCCATATCCAGCCCACCAGCTGCTTTGCCACAAGCAGAGAATGGCCTTCACAGATGTCCGCTGGCAGCCATGTAATTAAATGATAGGAAACATTAACTTTGAACCTGAATTAAAAATTTCAGTCTTCTCATTGGTAGACTTATATTACAAAAAATTGTACTCAATTATTATTTTCCTCAATTATTATTTTGACTTTTATCACTAAAAAATTTTTTTCCATTATGCAAGTCTCTACAAAATCTCTTTGATTTTGTTTCCTGGCGTATGAAGCCTAGCTTGCCAGCTCCAGCTGGAGACGGTGACTTCTCCTGGCAAATCAGTGATACTCACACTGCACCCAACAGCCTACTGAACCCCCAGAGGTGTGGCATGTGTCCCTGAAGCTGGGCCTCCTACATAGTCTGTGCTTCTCCATCTCTGCTGACCAGCAGCCTGGCCACTTCATCAGCCAGGCTGGGATCCACAGTTATTCTCCAAAAGGCCCTCCTCCTCCACAAACTATACAAACAAAAGTGCTCTTGATCTCCAATGTACCCCAGAAACCTGGCCCCTCCTTCTGCTCTGCCTCTCTTTACCCTTAGGGATTAGTTCTCTGCTTTTCTAATCCATGCCCCCAAATGCCAGGCATCTTTCTAACACAACCCTGACACGTACTTCTCCAGCTAAAGTTTTCTAGAGGCTCCCCACCATTAGGAGCAAGCCTGGACTCTTGTCAGGCTAACGGTTTTGCAGGCCCCCAGTGCTCCAATGACATGCAGAATAGAGCTGAACCTTCTGAAACCTGAGGTTTTCATTACTCAGCAGCAGCAACTTAAGGTCTGTAACACACAGCTGGCTTCTCCGAGTATGCCGGTGAGCCCCACATGCTGCCAGGATGGGTGTAGGTGGGAGATGCGCAGCTTCAGAGTCCACCCTGCCACCATCCAGCTGGCACGCCTCAAGATATTTTTCTGTGCACTCTTATGAAAAGGCTCCCCCAAGAAAGCCAATTCTGGGGATAGTGACAGAAGTGATAAGAAAGGGAAGGAGTCCAAGAGAGTGGTGGCTCTTGGTCAGAAACCAAGTCTTGAATAAGTTAGAGAGTTTTAGGTTTAGTGGTGGTGAAATCTATGATGTGACTGGATCCCCCATGAGCTTTAAATAGAACAGGAACAAGCCCCTTATGAAGCTCTTTCACCAAGGACAATGGCTTACCAAGAGACAAAACTGTAGAGAAAGACCAAGGATTTAGGTGATAAGAAAGTACACAGGAAACACATGACTTGATAGAAATTTGGTTAGGGAAAACTTACCTTAAATGACAATTACCCCTATATTTATAGATTAAGGGTTTTAACAGGATCACAAAAATTTTACTGCATTTTGTAGAAGCAATTATATAATACACTGTAGTGATTTTTGCAAATTTAGGGATTAGGAGTTCATAGGCCATATCATCACAGGCCATCCCTCAATGTTAAGAACCTGGGGGGCTCCTGTTCCAGAAATAGTCATGTCCACCCTTGCCCTGGCTTTTCTGGTATCCTGACTACCATGGGTCTGTCCCTTAAACCCCTCCTTAAACTGGGAGACTTCCGCAAAACCCTGACTCCAAGTAAAAGGTTGGCTCCTCAGTACCCAGGGCAAAGTCCCTGCCCCCCACATGCCTCCACTGCATCTGTTTACTGTCTGCCTCTCCATACCTTCCTAAAGAAGATGGACCTTGCTCCTACAGTCCTGCCTCCCAGCCAAAAGCATGAGCCTGCAAAGTATGGGCGCTCAGGGCCCTTGAAGAAAGGCACACACACAAAGCTACCAGAGCAGCCTCTCTACAAAGCTGCACAGACCTGCTTCCATGCACTTGGACAGCACTTGAATGAGACTGAGTTGCTTTATGTAAAAGTTTTGCTTTCCTGCATGTATTAAGTGATGGCAAGAACTCTACCATTGACTCTACCATCTATGGGCAGAGATCACATGGGGTGGGTGACGTGCGGGAACTGAGAAGGCCTCCTCTCTGAAATGACTCTGGTTGCCTCCCTACTGGAACACCTGTGTTGGGAAGACCTCCAGTTTTCAAATGCTCCCCAAAAGAAGGGAAGTTACCCCGGGAGACCCAGAAACTTAAAAGGCTTTTATACTATGAGCCCCGAGAAGAAGCCCTTGGGAAGAGGTATGTGGGACACAGGGAAGTGCTGATTACAAACTTGCCAGCTTTCCCCTCTTCCAAGGGTTTGCTCTTCTGCTGAGATCACGCAAGGTGGATGTCTCAATCCAAAGTGAACAGATGTCCACACTTCCTATGGTAATTACAGGTAGCCAAAAATGAGGACACAAATCATTTTTATTTGCATGTTGGAAAAAAAAAACTACTCCAGTTGGGGGAACAGAGTGACAAGGTATTTGAAATTAGGGTCAAGTTGCAAAGTTGGGGATGAATGGACATTATGGCTGAGCCAAAACACCCCATAACCTTGGCTAATGTATCCACAGCAAACTGCCCTTGGACCTCTCACCACCAACTTCACTTGCTTGCTCTTTCTGCTGCCACCACTGGCTCTTCTGCCTGCACTTGTTTCTCCCCAGACCCACTATGAGCTGAAAATAGTTTCCTAATTTCTTCCCCACCGCACCCTACTTCCTGATCTGGGTAATGACCACACAGGTGTATACACAGGTAAATAGTCATTGGCTCTCTGCTTGATAGTTATGCATTAAAAAAAACTCTTAAAAAATAGCTCTGTATTGCAGAATTAAAAGAGAGACAGATACACAGTGAGAGATAGAGATGGCTATAAAACCTGTGTAATAACATTACATCAAACATTTTTCTGGGTTAAATGGAAGCAGGCTACAAAACCAAATGAATACTCTGACACAATACAACTATAAAATCACTGAGTGAGAAGGAAAACGTAATGATAAGTTTTTGTGTTACGTTAGGTAAGGGGCAGATTTTCTGTAACATGGCTACATTGTTTTTATAATATAAAACAGAGAGTGATCTGAGATATGAACAGTAGTAATCTAGTTTAGCAGAAATTCAATTCTTTTGCCCTGGCTGGTGTAGCTCAGTATATTGAGCTCAGGCTGAGAACCAAAGGGTTGCTAGTTCGATTCCCAGTCAGGGCATATGCCTGGGCTGCAGGCCAGGTCCCTAGTGGGGGCATGTGAGAGGCAACTACGCATTGATATTGCTCTTCCTCTCTTTCTCCTTCCCTTCTCCTCTTTCCACAAATAAATAAATAATATATATATATTTAATAAAAGAAATTCTTTTATCTTTTATTTATCTTTATTGTATTTTTCCCACTACCATTTATCCCCCTTATATACCCCAACTCTTTTATCTTTTAAATATGCAACATTTAAATGCCTGACGAAATCACATGTATGATTTCATTATACCCTAGCCAAAAGATTCAGGATAATAATCTCTAATTTTAAAATGAAAATCAATTAGCAACTTGGATTAAATATGGAAACATTCACTCTAAAAACTTTTCCAAGCAAAATTTTGGTGCAGTGAGTCACATTTGTACTGACGAAGCTTTCTGAAGTGAACATTCTCTTTCCAGTTATTGGGGTCACAAGTGCCGGAGCAGTAATTTACTGAAGACCCAACTGATGCCAAATTTGCAGACCGGCTGTCAATCAAATGAAGGTAATCAGGAGTGCTGGGGAAATGTTTCTTGTTTCAAACTGTTTGAAGAGGAATCCCTCCCAATGAGAAACTTCCAAGGTTCCTGGATCCCTTTAAGGCACTAGAAGTGGCCTGAGAGTCTTGGGCATTTGTACTAACCCCCCCTTTCTTCTTTCATATCAGAATGGCTGAAGACCCACTCACCTGCTGTTGGGCTGGGGGGTGAGGGTGCCATTCTGTTCAGGTGGGGTCTCTGCTGGTTTAGATTTGAAGTAATTGACAAACCCCCCAAACACACTTTTAATGCTGTTAATGTGCTTCTGGCTGATCTTCAAATCTTGATCCATTTTGTCCACCATCTTCTCCGTGCGCTCTAAGACTCCTCGCTGACGCACAAGCTCCTGGGGAAAACCAGAGGTGGTGCCATTATGTTTTTGTTTAATTGTTCCCCTCCTAGAGAGGACCACACACAGCAGGCTCTTCATAAACCCTCAGTGAGCACATATGTGGACAGAAACTGTCACTTGGGAAGGGCATGCCATCCTTTCTGACAACACATTCCTTTGTCTCCCCCTCCCTGCTCTACCTCTGTTTGCTTGCTTTTTCATTTGCTCCAGTCCATATTACGATGGATGCTTGTGGGGGTCAGAGTACAGGGCCTGCCCTGGTAGCAGAGCCTCTCCAGCCCTGCCCTTGGCCCTGGTAACCCTTACAGGCTTTGACCTGGCACTGACCCGTGGACTATGACTTTGTACTCTTTCTTTCCAGATATGGAAGTTCCCATTAAGCCACATGCCTTTGGTCATGTCTTTAATTTTGTGGGGTAAATCCTGGGGTCCTGTTAGTGTCTGATTCCAGCTCGCCCGTGATGTCAGTTTTAAAACTTCCAAAAAGAGGGACTCTGTTGCAGGGCCTTTGCACATGCTACTTTCTCTGCCTACAAGGCTCCTCGTCCACCTACTTGTATGACTCCATTCCCCACTTACATAATTTGAGTGCCCATACAAAGCCCACTTCCTCAAAGAGTCTTCCCTGAACACCTTCTCCAAAGCAGAATTCCTCCTTTTACCCTCAACACTCTACTCATGATCTGCTTTAGTTTTCTTTACAGCATGCCAGCTCTATGAAGCAGGGACCTGCTTTGCTCACTATAAATCTGATAAACAGGCACGTGAATGGTGCTCTGTGGTCACGAGGACAGTCTGGATCTTACTCCCCAAGAGCTGATGCTTCTGGCTGCAGATGTGAACTCAACACTGAAGAAACACTAAAACCCCCTTTATTTGTGCCAAACTTGTTTCAGCCCCTATTTAGGCTATTCTAACCTTGTCCCCTCCCTGTGATCTGCCTTTCCAGCCAGAAGCCTACCAAGCCTCTCAACATTTTCTTTTTTTACTTCATGATGCAGCCCCTGCCCTCAGGTGTCTTCCTCTCAATCTCCTAACTCTGCATCTCCCTGTGGCTCAACAAATTAATTGTGCAAATAATCCGTGGAGATTTCTCTCTTGATACCGAAAAACAAAGTCAGGAAAATTTAAACAAACACTCCAAAAACCTGAACAATAAAAATAAAACTCGCCCTGGCTGGTGTAGCTCAGTGGATTGAGCGCGGGCCTGCGAACCAGAGGATCGCAGTCAGGGCACATGCCTCGGTTGCAGGCCAGTTCCCAGCAGGGGACACACGAGAGGCAACCATACATTGATATTTCTCTCTCTCTTCCTTCCCTTCTCCTCTAAAGATAAATGAATAAAATCTTAAAAAACAAACAAACAAACAAAAAAACCCCTCTAGGCAATGGGTTTGAGAGTCCATTTCAGATGAACAAAAAATTGTTTTAAAAAAGTTTTTAGGATATTTAGGGTCCAACATATAACATGAGTTCTCAATGTTTAGTGGATAAAATTTAAAAATATACTGTGTAGATAAAAAGCTAAAACACTGGCTGAAATTACTATTAAATTCTGCTTAAGTCTTGCTGGAAACTGACTTAGAACTGTGGAGCTGCATAGCGCTGGACATGAAATGTTTTTCACCAGCTTGAGACATGTCTGCAGAAGTCATCAGGCTTTTCCAATTAAAAAGAAAAAAAATGCTCTCTGGACCATGTTCTTCAAATGTCAAGCAAATCTGACAAGGGTTCATTTTCAGGAACAAAACTCTGTCAATTTCAGCTAGATCAGGAGCGGAACCATAGAAATGAAGATCACATGAAGGGTTAGCAACAGGGGAGTGGGAGGAGGAGAAGTGGGGAGAAGGTACAGAGAATAAGTAGCATAGATGGTAGATAGAAAATAGGGGGGAGGGTAAGAATAGTAGGGGAAATACAGAATCTAAAGAATTTGAGACACATGTTCATAAACTAAAGGGGGAAATGGTGGGGGAGGGGTATGCAGGGTGGAGGGGAATGGAGGGGGGAATAGAACAAATGGCATAATCAATAAAAAAGTTAAAAAAAAACAACTGTCAATTTATCTGGAGCTTCTACTTCTTCCAACACCTCAAGTCATCACATCAACTCAGAGATAAGTCTTTTCTGGAACAAGGGAGAGCTATAAATTAGGATTAAAATAATCTTCTCCAGCATTTTGAGTTGATACATTTTTACCAGTCCAATCCCACCCAGCTTATTTCACATGCTGCAGCAAAGAGAAGAATTTGAAGCTGAAGAGGCACTTGGGGCAGCCGGGGCTGGGAGGGGTGGCCAGGGCTTCGCTGCCCACCAGGAGGCAGGTCCTTGGCCTCTGTGACAGTGACCTCTCCCATTACGGTTCCGCTCATCTCATGAACTATTGGGTTGGCCAAATACATTAAAAGTCTGTTATGTTTTCTCCATAAGTTGGCTCTAACTTATCTTTAGCTTTATGAAGTTAGTTGTCTTTAACTTCATTAGAAACAATTTTGTTATGCTGTATCATGGCAGCTGTCATATCAGCATGCATTTTAAAGAAATCTTATCAAAATTGGTGAATTTTTATGCAGCCATTTTATTATTGAAGATGAAAGAAAAATACGCATCATTTTCAGCAAATTATGCTTCATTATTTCAAGAAAGGTAAAAATGTTACTGAAATGCAAAGAAAGATTTGTGCAGCGTATGGAGAAGGTGCTGTGATTGATGGAACATGTCAAACATGGTTTGCAAAGTTTCTTGGACTACTGACATTTTGGGCAAATAATTCTTTGCTGTGGGGCTGTCTCATGCACTGGAAGATGTTTAACAGCACCCCTGGCCTGTACCCACTAGAAACCAATAGCGAGAGACAGCTAACATACTCAAAATATCCAAATCGATAAAGTTATCGGTGAAAATGAAAAGTGTGTCTTTTACTTTACAGAAAAACACAACGGACTTTTTGGCCAACCCAATACTTTCCCTCCCACCTTGGCCTGTCCACCTCAGTTTGAAGACTCACAGCAGTAACAGCAACTGACAAAATCTTTCTCAATTCACAGTGAGATTTTATTTTTTTCTGTTCACAAGTGACACAGTCTTTCAAACTCTGAGTCTATGTCATTCTGCTTACTCAGTAAGGAAACCAATCAAATTATTTACATATTGTGATAGAAGTACAGAGAGATATGAGGGGGGTCCTGCTGGGAGGCTGGAAGGCCAGGAAGTGAATGCCACTCTGGTCTCTGAAAGTTTCTGAGCTGGACGCTGGTGTTTACTGGAGGTGATCTGATGGTCAGAAGGCCAGCAGAGGAGGAAATTCTGGTAAAATCTTCCTCCAAGGCAGAGGAAAGGACTGCACTCCATGTACCTGTGACCTAACCAACCATGTACCTGTGGTTCTAACCAACGAGGAAGAAGCGCTTGGCAGAACAAACACCAAGATCTAGGGCAAGGACAGAATAGGCAGGACCTGCACCCCGGCCATTATTACAAAGGCAGGCCTCAAACGCTCCTGTCCTCCAGAAGTGGGGCTGCGTCATATCTCTGCTGCTGGTTCCTGGGAGAATGGGAGGTCACCTAAGAGACGAGGGTGGCTGTGAGCGCTGCAAAGTGCCCTCCACGTAAAGGGCACATAGGCAAAGCTCTTAGCTCAGGTGTTAGCATTACAGGTGATTCCTTCCCTCCCTTCAGCCCCAAAAGAGTTTTCTAAAGTTAAACTGGAAAAGAAGATAGAGAAAAAAAATCTGGCTGGCTGGAGGTACAAAGCTGAGGGGCAACAGACAGAGAGGAAGTGTCTCAATTCCTCTTTGGCTTGTGGCTTTTTGTCAAGCATAGGGATTCCTGACAGAACAAGAAAAAGTAGAAAGATAGCTGAAGGCACTGTTAGTGTGTCCGCTGCCTGACACGAGGTGACACCTTCCTGATAGAGTAAGTTCAAGCGCCATGCGAGGATGTGAAGACATCAGGGAATCATGGCTGGTGGAGTGCTCTTCGAAAACACACATGCAATGACAGAGTGCTGCAAGATACTCACCAACACCTATTATCAAGCACCCTCTCCCTCTCTTCCAGGTACTGATCCAGGCGTGTGGAATTCAGGGGCGAATACCCCAAATCTCTTCCCTGATGGAGCTGACAGTTTAGCAGAGAACAACATGACAGGAAGTTAAATTTGATTTTTCACTGTTGACTAACATTGCTGTGCTGAGAAGCCAAAAGGGAAGGCAGCTGGGTCCTTGCTTCACTGAGCTTACAGTCTTGTACGGGAGACAGAAAAGAAAGTCATCATACACACGAGGCTCTGAAAAGGTAAGCCCCTCAGAGGGACTTCTCACCTGGTTTAAGGGGGGAGGGCAGGGGGGAGAAACTGAAAGCTTAGAAGTTAGGGAGTCTAAGGGTTGGGGTGGGGCAAGAGCATTTAGGCAGAGGGAGTGGCCAGTGCGGTGGCCTGGGGCAGCAGGACCAGCTGGGGAACTGAGAGAGGAAGAGAAACTAAGCAGTGAGCATGACAGGGAATAGGCGGGGATGCGGGGCAGGACCCAGTAGGGATCAACGAGGGGGCAGAGCTGCAGCCTTCAAAGGACAGCAGAGACTACCAGACCCCAGCCCCATATCCGAGGCATCTCCTAATTTCAGCCAGATCTTGGCGTCTTCCCTGCCTGAGTCATGCTCTGAGTTCCCAAGCAAAAGGTGTCAATGCTAAGTTTCTCGTGTTGAGCTTGTTATTAAACTCAGGTATCAAATGATAAGTAGGCAGAGATGTCAGTTTGGAGTCAAAATGCTGAATCTAGAAACTTGAAATTTATCTTTGTTATGTAGCTCGTCCTCCAAAGAGTACACATATGCATAAGCACTGGAAGGGGTGCATGCTCATGTGTGTGGAGCACACGCAAATCCGGGATTTGTCTCAGTGTAGTGGCAAGTGAGTTTTAGCATGTCTCGTAGTGACAGCATGAAGTTATTCAAAATCACAAACTGAACCTTAGGTTACACAAAGAACCCACCAAAGGCAAAGATGGTACCGCTGCTGCCCCTCACTGCATGAGTGCGTGCAGACCAGGGGCCCAGGTAAAGGACTAACTCAGTAGGCCAGGACTGTCCACATCCTGCACATTCCAAGGAAAGGCCTTGTTTGACTTCTTGCCCTTGAATTACCCAGATAAGAGTGTTTTTGTTTCTGGCCAGGCCACATAGTTTGTGATGGGGGCCAAGGGCCCACACGCTCAACTTCTGGAGGTACTGGACACTTAAGTCAGCCAGGTGGACAGCCAGGCAGCCATGTAGGCATCCACGCAGACATGGCGAGCCCCAAATAAAATCTCTGAACCCCAGGTTTGGGTGAGCTTCTTTGGCAATACTCTGTGTGTGTCGTGCATAACTGCTGGGAGAAGTAGGTGCTGCCTATACAACCCCACTGGGAGACAATAGCCCCTGGCCTCTCCTGGACTCTGCCCTATGAGCCATTTTCCTTGGAAAATTTTAATCAGTATCCTTTTACTGTAATAAACTATAACTACAAATGTAACAGTTTTGCTGTTAGTCCTAGAGAATCATCAAACCTGAGGATGGTCTGGGGTCCCTCGAACAACTTCTCCAACAGCACCTCCTACTCTCAGAACCACCAACTCAGAGGCAGAAGGCTGAGTGAGAGCAGAGAGCCCCTCAGCTTCCTGCAACACGTCACCTGCTCAGAGCAGGGTCTCTCAGGACAGCACAGCAGCCGTGAGTGGACACTTCAGGAAGGGGCGACAGATACGGCCAGGTGCCACATCTCTGGTATGGGAGGTCTGACCTTGCAGAATGGTGACAACTCGTCTTCACAACGTGCCTTGTTACAGCTGAGGAGCCAGCAAGTTTGCCTGGGATCTCCAAATTTTCCAGTCAAATTCAACCATTGACAGTTTATGAAAAATTTAGTAAAAAAAATAAATCCAAAACAGACCTATTAGTGAAGATGTGGTCCAATGACATTTCTATCAGAGTCCCTTACACCTGGTAGAGAGTCTGAAATGCTCAAGAAGGCATTTTCTGGCCACCAGGAGGAAGATTTCATCTAGAGTCACACAGATCGATTCATTCTTCCCACCTCAGTCTGTCCTCCACTACCAATCAATCCTCTGTTCCCGCCCCTTCCTTCTCCTTCCCTTCCCCAGGTCATTTATTCAGCTGGCAACTATTTGGGAAGCACCTAATAACATGAAGGACACTGTGCTGAAAAGTGTGGGAGTAGAAGGTTGAGCAAGCAGTCGCTCCTCCCCCATAGCTAACATTTAGAAATCTAGTGGAGAATTACTGAACCTAGCAGATCTCTTGCCCTTCATCAGCCTTTGTGTTAGGATAGGTTTGTGCTAAGAACTATGGCCCCATTAGAACCACCACAGGCTGCCTTGGAGGGGAGACTGTGGTCTGTGCAGCCCCTCTCTTGGAGAGCACAAGGTTCTGCTCCAAGGCGTTTCTCAGGGAATGGAGGCAACATATAAGTTGTGGAGAGAGCCTGGAAAGATGACCATGATGGTCTTTGTTCCTGGTTTGAGAGGGTGTTCTTCTCTCACCCAGCTCTCTGAACTAAATGCTTGGTGTGGCTTTGGTGACTGTTGTGTGCTGGAAAGACACCGAGAAGGCAAGTGAGGCCCCTGCACAAAACAGTGATGAGGACATTTTGGCTGGAGGTGCTGTGGGCATCATGTTCAAACTGCTGAAAACCACTTTCTTTCCACTGATGTTATTGCACCAAAGGTTCAGGGCTGGGTCTAACGTTTGCTGCTGGAATCTCCTGCACTGAGATCCTAGACCCCACAGTATGTCACTGGAGCATGCTCAGCTCGCTGTCAAAAGGGATGTGAAGAGCCCTGGGCAGGCTCCTCTGCCAGGGTGGGGAAAGGGTTTACACACAGTGTCCAAGCAGCACACAAACAAGTTCACCGAAGGGCAAACGGCTCAAATGCCCATTATTAAGACCCTGGCTACATAAACAGAAGCCATCATTCAATGGAATATGGCACAGCCTAAAAAAAAGAAAAAGAGCAGCACATTATACATCGCTATGGAATAACCCCCAATCCTATTAAGTAGAGTAAAATGTATAGAATGCTTCTTCTTAAGTTAAAATTTAAAAAAAAGAAAGGAAAAGAGACTACAACTATACCTTTAAATGCAGACTATCTCTATAAAACATCTAAGGAACTAACAGTAAGTGGCTGCTGTGGGAGAAGAAGGGTAGGAGGAAAGTTCATTGCTTTCTGTGTTTTGAACTTTGAACCAGGTGACCAGGTTATTGCTTCACAAAACTTAAACCTTAGGAAAAGAAGAAAATAAATGACACTTGCAAGACAGAAGAAGAGCTATCTCTCTGTGGTTCTGGAGTGTGCTTACCAGGCCAGCCAAGCATGACCTGCTCTGCCCGCTGGCAGTCATAACCTATAGCTGGTCTGTGAGAAACGAGCCTTGCAGGTTTCACAGAAAAAGGGCAGCTCTCCTTCACTATAGGTGACTTGACTGATTTTCTTACTTCTGCCAAACTGGGATTGAATCCTTCCCAATCCAGTATTATCTGCAGACTCCTATTCTCTATAAAAAAATCTGTCACCCTTTGGCTTGTTTCATAGTGCTGGGTATTTGGCTGACACCCGTCTAAGCTAGGAGGTGAGCAGGTGACTTGGGTCTGCTGGGAACCACCCTGTGCACTGAGGGGCAGGAAGGGCCCACCTGTTCCACTTCTTAATGCCACCCTGAGGGGAATAAAAGAGTGTTGAGTAACTGAGAGTTCGGAGAGTATGAAGTAGGGTAGGGCCATTCTTGCATCCAATAATTGAGAACTTAGAAAAATTCAGTGTGGAATCATGGTAACGAGAGAGCCTGTCACTGCTCAGTCATGATCATACCGTACCTCTCAGAGCAACACCAGCTTAGCCCAGGCTATGCCTCACAGGCCTGGGGCGCCACACTGTCTGCTCCCACAGTCCCCCCTGCATAGAGAGAAGAACCTCTGAGGGCAGCATGGGGTGTGTCAACACAACTCGCATGAAACAACTCACATCTTCTATGTTTTTGGCTCTCTTAAGTTATGAGAACAGACCTTCCCTCCGATCCACAAAAAGCTCCTAAGCTGCCTCCTCCAGGCTCTTACCTCATCCTCATCCTCATTGTCATCCTATGCCTCACTTCTCTGCCCAGGGGCCCAGGCGATCAGGGGCCTAGGAGATCAGGAGCTCTGGTGCCAGGCTAGTGCCTTTGCACTGCTCCTATTTTCCCTGGGAACATCCCTTTCCTTCCTCACCCTTTTAACCTAAACCTTAGTCTTAAAAGCCACGTTCAAGCTAATCTGCTATCCTGACACCCAACTTTGTATCATTCTGATTTCCTACTTCATTTGTTTTCAACAGGTTTCCAAATGTGTCTCTTCCAGCAGTTCTTAGTTGACTCCCTGGGCCTGGGACACTCAATCTAAGTGACCCCTCTACCAGGGCCCTAAGACCTCAACAATCCTCCCACATCTAAGTCAACATTTTTCCATTTAGATTCAAAAATAGGAATCCAGTAGATAGGACATTTAAGAACTACAAGCTAAACTTGCTCAACAAGGCTAAAGATAGGAAGGTAGGCCAATGAGGGATACCACGACAGGGAGAAGCAGAGAAGGGAAATCAACCAAGAAAGGAGTGATGGGGAAATGATGGAGATGACTATTTGAGAAGTTGTTCGATATACCTCAAAACTGCCCAAGACCCACAAGTGCTCAGGTCAGAATAAACTTTGCCAGGGAAAAGAATTATCAGACCCGCAGAGGAAGACAATACATTTCAAAGCTTCATATGCTTAAGATTAATTATTCTTGGCTGACATACCAATAATCTACAATTAGGTTTTTTAAAACTAAAAAAAAAAAAAGCCCACACACATTCATTAGTGGGCTGAAGAGAGAATGCAGTGCCTAAGAAAGAAAAATCCTCATTTAAGGTTCTTCTCTGAAATCTTCTATGGATGGGACAAACTGACAGAGGTGAGCTGGAGCACTAGACTGTCCCCACCATATACTGTCTGTTTAGATTTCTGGACTTGAGAAGTAAAGCTAAGGCCCTAGACTCGACCAAACTGGTGCTTTGGCTTACTCAACAGGTGTTCAGGCAGACAAGACCTCAACACCACTACTAGTAAGGTCAAGTGCTCACTGATGTGAAAAAACTCAAGGCGCATTTGCTCTTCTGCTTCAGACACCAGCACGCACGAGGTCCTCACTCATTCTGGTCACTGGGGGAGGAATGTCTGAAGCCCTTGGGCCAGGCTTCTAACCAGAAAGTTATGTAAACAAAACAAATCCTCTAACTGAGGCCCTGCTGTTCAGAAGTTTTACTTACCTGGACGGAACACAGTGTGGAGTGCACCTCTGTACCAGAAATACAAAAATAGAATCAACTAAGCAGACTAATGGCTAAAGAAGATTCCTGGGGGCAAAACGCCTCTTTGAAGTACTCAAGATACACCATCTCTTTACATTACAAATCATCAATTCACTAAAGTACGAGAACGCATTCTAGGCAATTCAAGAATTCCCGCAACCACTGTGAACAATACATTTCTTGAGCCCTGTGACAGTGCAGACTGGTCGGTCCAGGCCAGCCTTGCTCCAGACTCACCTCGGAAGTGGCGACCCCGATCTTCTCGGACTCATACATGACCGACAGAGACCTGCTGGTGCTGGCGGCCGAGGCCTCGGCCCTGCGCATCACCTCCTGCCGCAGGTACTGCTGCTTGTCCGCAGGCGCTCCGGACCCGATGGAGAGGTCGCTGGAGTCCTTCCAAGGTGTCGGCGGGGCGCCCTCATCCTCAGCGTCATCATCGAACGGGTTGTAACTTTTGGGGTAGGCCGACATGGTGCCGGCGCTCAGCTCACTGTGGGCAGAGGCAGGAGCTGCGCGGCTGAGGCAAGCAACGGCCCTTCCGGGCCCGCAGAGGTCCCGGATACCCCCCGGGAGACCTCGGGAAGTGCTCACAGCCCTGTAGCCTTAACCGGCCGCCAGCCTCTCCCAGCGCCTCACTCCGCCTACGGACCTCGCGCTTGCAGAGCGAGCTTGTTCAGCGCGTCAAAAGCGGGCGGCCACGCCTCTGGAGCAGACCATCCTGCCCCCGGCTTGGGGGGGGAAACGACGCCCGCGCGCGCCGACCAGCCTATCACAAGGATTTTTCCTCCCTTCCAGCGGTTGGACCGCCCACAGCCACGCCCCACCCTGAATCGGTAACGTAAAGGTCACGTGGTGGGGAAACCGGATATAGACGCGCCTGCGCGGTGAGCTCTGGAGCTTGAGGGCCGGGTGCTGGAAGCCGGCGGTCAGCCCGTCTGGGCGCGAGATGATGGCGGCTGCGACGGTGGCCCGGGGAGGCGGTGGCTCCAGCTGCGGCTCCGGCTCCGGCTCCGGCTCCGGCTCCAGTGCCTCGCGGGGTTTCTATTTCAACACAGTTCTGTCATTGGCCCGCTCCCTGGCCGTGCAGAGACCTGCATCCTTGGAGAAGGTAGCCTGGGCCGACCTGGCCGCGGGCTGACAGGAGTGGGGGACCGAGGCGAAGCGGGGAGGCTGGGCAGGGGTCAGCAGGAGGTGGAGTAGAGGATCGCGTACTGCCTGTGAGGGGGCTAATGAGCCCTGTTCGGCCGGGTGAGGAAGCCCGTGGGTGGAGGGGGTTGGGAAAGAGAGGGAGTCTTGGGAGAGTGGGCCGTGTGCAAGCACAGGAGGGGATGCTTCGGGTAGGTCGGTGTGGGAGAGACGTGTGAACTACAGGCCGGAGTTCAAGACGGAGGGGCACCTTGTGACATCGCTGGGGCCCGGGGGCGGGGGCGGCAGGGAGGAGCAGTGGGAAGAGCCGAGGACCAGGATCAAAATCTGAGGCTTTGCTTTTAACTTCCCCTGCTTTTTTAATCCGTGGCTTTGGGGAGATGCCTTTCTTGTAAAATGGGGATGCTTTTACCTGCTTTGCCCACTTCATGAGATTGTCGTGAAGGGCACAGGAAATAGTGTTTTCAAGAGTACTTTCTGAAATTCACATCTACTGCGCATTGTTTTTCTGTGACACTAGAGGGGGCGTTAGATTGGGTAAAAGATTGTGTGTTTGAAGGGGCAGTGTCAGGGAAGCAGGAGTGAACTGTCAGTGGTTACAGACTCGATCTGGGGATTGCTTCCGAGGAAAAGGGAGCACTTAGGCCAGAGGAATCTTTATCTTGAGAGAAAGGTGAAAGGCAACTCAAAGGTGTGCTTGGGATGATGGGAGGAACACAGATTTTAAAGTCAGACCTAAGTTTGGTCCCTGCACTGTCACTCTGCATTGTTTTGGTTAAGTTAGTTCAACTCTTAGAGCCTTTATTTCCTTATCTGTGAAATGAAGTGGTTCTTGAGGATTAAAGGGACTCAAGTATCAAGTGCTTTGCACGGAGTAGGTGAGCAGTAAATGTCAGTTTTCTTCCCCTACCAGTGTGTGAGTGTTGAAGGGATGGGCTTCCTTTCTCTCCACACAGCTTTCTCGAAAATGGAAAGGGAACACGGTCAGTAGAAGAGCGATGGAGATTTGCCTGCTCTAGTTGGGAGTGGTTTTGTGGTTCTGGTGAGAGGTGAGCTGAAAGGCTGTTTAGGCACTTTGGCAGAGTGACCTAGTTCTTCCCTGCTTTCGTAGCTCTCAGACTTGACTTATCATTCAATTGCAAGATGAGCAGGTCTTGGGAAACTAATGCTAGCCTGATTTCTAGTTATAGGAGGAAAACAATAGAATAGAAAGAATATGAGTTATAGGACCGCCTGCATTTAAAATCTGTGTTATGTTGGTATAACTCTGGGCAGGTCACTTTCCCAATTTTATCCTCTGCTTTCTCCTGCAAAATACAACTAAATAATATAACCTTTAGGTTGGCAGCTCCCTAATACCATCTCTTACTTTGGGAGGTACTTCAGTCTCATTACCAACATTTACAAATTACTTTAGAAAAAAGTTAAGAGTAAGCCTGAAGCTGCTCTCTTCAGAAGGGCTTGCTTGCAAGGTTGGCTCCTGCCAGGCACCTGGGAACTTGGCACTTGAACTGTTCCCTCTATTCCCTAATTGATATGGGTGGTTCACTGGGCATAGACTCTTTGTACAGACTACGATTTATGTTGAACACCTGCCTTCCTTCTGGGAATCTGGAATTTCGATGGCTGCTAGGCTGACAGTGCCTATGTGATGAGCCCCCAATAAAAACCTTGGGTGCCTTGTCTGTAATGAACCTCTCTAGGCACAAACACAGTGCCTGTGTGACATGTCACAGAAAAACAATGAGAACCTTGGGTGCTATGTCTCTAATGGACTTCCCTGGCACTACATTGTTTGCTGCTGTGAAAGGGAGTGTGCTTGGGGTATACGCTCACAGGAGGGAGAGGACTTCAGAAAGCCTGTGCTTGGGTTTCTACAGATTCTACCTGTGTTTTTCCCTCGCTGATATCCTTTCACTGTCATAAAAGTTAGCCACAAGTAAGCCACAAGTACAACTCTGCATATATGGGTGGTCTTGGGGACCCCAGAACAACTTCTTTCTTAGAGGAGGCTTCCACAGATGACTGATTCCATCATATATGTGTGTGTGAATTCCTCTTATCCTTGTCCAGGATATTGAGACTTGATTATGCTAGGGATCATTGTTACTATTTGGTCTTATAGTATCTGTCTGTTTACTACATTCCCCTACTCTAAAACTACCAAAAAGGAGCCCTTAGCATACCTAAGCAAAAGATTCTTGAGCTTCTTAAGAGGAAAGGAATTTCTGAGTACTCATTTGGGGTAACAAAAATGGAGGCTTAGGGGGAGACGAATATTGAAAAATATCCCTCCCCCCTTTTCTTTGTTTCCATTTTCCCTCTTTTCCCAGAGAGAAGGGATCGGACTGAGAAGGATTTAGTCTAGACAGGATTGACCTGAGCAAGGCTAAGTTTTCTGAACTAGACTTGACAGCTCAGCTCATGCCTGGTAACTCAGGCAGCCCTAATACGCTTTTGGCAGCATTTGGGACACATTAATGATGACTTCCGCTATCTTTGTCTCTCTCTACCCTGCAGTTGTGTTTACTTATGCCTCTCTAATCCCGGGCTGTGAAATCAAGTTTATCGCTACTCAGTGGGTTTTATTTTTTGTTTAGTTACTTAATTCAGCCTTTTATTTAGAAAACATTTATTGAGCACCTACTGTTAATTGGTACATGCTGAGTCCTAATTTGATTACTTAGGTGACCAGCAACAAGTCAGACTTGCACAAGTCCTCTCTCTACTCTTGTATCCCAGGTCAGGTGACCAGACTCCTGCCATATTCAGAGAGCCAGACCCAAGACCCTCGAGCATCTGTTCTCTGATCTGTACAGGAGCTTTTACTTTTTTCTGCTGGGCTTGTCCCTAAGTCTGGAGTCTCAGCCCTGAGCCCATTGCCAGGATTGCTGTCTCACTCTGAGGACACTCAGTGAAACTCTCTCTAGACTGTGTTCCACCCAGTCCTCAACACTCTCCGCTTTGGGTGAAAGGAGAAAACTGGAGAAGAAGGAAAGTTCAGTGGAATCTCTATGTATGAACCGCTTCTAGGCGCCCTCTCACTGGTTTGTAAATGTTTGCCCGTCCTGCTCTGCTTTCCTGGTTCTTGCCTGTCTTTGTAACGTTGTTGAGCTGCCCCTGCCCATCCTCCTCCTGGCTCTGCCTGGTTATACTCCTCTGTGGCTAGGAAATCCAGTGTCCTGTTTCTGCCTCTCTTCTTCTGTCCGGTGCCATTCTAATGGACCCCAAACCCTGGGACGTGGAGAATTCTGGGCAGAGCTGCAGAGTAGGCAGCATTTGTTGCCCTTCTATTCCTCTTCTCACCCTCAAGAGGCTTTGGTGAGAGTCCTTTTCCATGTCCTGACATATCCTCTCTCTTTCTTCTGTTAGGATGCCAGAATCTCGAGGTCTCAGCTAACTATTGATCGGATGTTTAAATGGCACTGGTTGCTTTGGAGACAGGCCAGACCCTCCCTGGTGAACAGATGTACTTAGAAGATGAGCTGGTTCGCTCTTACCTGTAATTGGAACAATGTGTGAGCTGGTGCTGAGGGCAGTGGGCTTTCTTTAGTTCATGGTTATCCAGTCTGTCCTTTAGAGTGGTCTGCCATGGAATAAAAATAATGGTAATGGCATTTTTTTCAGCATGATGCAGCTGAAAATTTTCTGTCCTTGCTCCCTCTCCTGTGCGAGTGAGTCCACATTAAAAAGAACCATAGAGGAGAGGAAAGAGAATTCGCATCAGCAGAGGGTATCATGTTGCTAGAACCATTGTTATTAAATCTAAAATCCTTTAAGAAAAACTTGGAAGAAGAAAGTCTTTACCTGTAAACATGCCACATGAGCTGTATTTGTTTGCTAGGATTGCTATAACAAAGCCACCACCGTGGCTTAAACAAGAGATTTATTTTCCCACTATTCTGGAGGCTGGAAATCCAAAATGAAGATGTCCACAGTGTTAGTTTCTTTTGAAGCCTCTTTCTTTGTCTTGTAAATTGTCTTCTCCCTGAGTCTTCACCGTCTTCCCTCTGTGCCTGTCTGGGTCCGAATGTGTTCTTGAAAGAACACCAGTCAGCCCTGGCTGGTATAGCTCAGTGGATTGAGCGTGGGCCTTCAAACCAAGGGATCGTGGTTCCATTCCCAGCCAGGGCACATGCCTTGGTTGCAGGCCAGTTCCCAGCGGGGGACACAGGAGAGGCAACAATACATTGATATTTCTCTCCCTTTCTCCTTCCCTTCCCCTCTAAAGACAAATGAATAAAATCTTTTTTAAAAAAACCCACCAGATTGGTAGGACTGCCCCCCTCCCATTACCTCACTTTAACCACATTATCTCTTTGAAGACCCTGTGTCTTTAAATACAGTCACATCCTGAGGTACCTGGGGGTTAGGACTTCAGTATGTGAATTTGGGTAGCAGGCACAATTCAGCTCATAACATTAACCCATCAAAACTTTCATTTCTTAGAGTGCCTTTTTAGTCTTTACCCACATATAGCGGTAGTCATGTCATGATCTTTTTTTTAAAATAGCTCATATTTATTCTTT